AGCCGGATTATTTCTCGAAGGAAATATAGTCCACGAGAGAGTTTTCTTTGTCGCCATGGAAGAGGTTAACGCACTACGCAAACGTCGTGGTATCTCGAAGTCCAAACTAACAAAGTTGACGACGAGAATCGAGCGCATACGACAATCAGAAGACGTGAGTAAAGAGTATATTGAAGAATGCATTGCAACATTAGATCGAATATGTGTAGAATTCGAGAAGCTACACGAGGAAATAATCGCCGCCACGGAGGGAGAAGTTCTAGTAACGGACTCAACGGAAGAGGTATACTTCGAGGAACGATACTTCGAGTTAAAGGTGTCTCTAAATGAAATGCTGCGAGACGTCACGATGAGGCTACAGGAGACACGCTCTCCAACGAGCAATGAAGTGATCTCGCAGGTATTGCAACAGCAATTCGATTTGATTCGTCAAATAAACCAACAGTCAAATGCGTCGCCAGCATCGAGCAACGACGCCATCACAAGGTTGGTAGAAACGCAGACAGAGCTATGATCGCGACTCACGGCCACCGGGGGCGCAGCAAGTCGTCCTACGGGTGTCAAATTGCCGGTTTTGAAGCTGCCATCTTTTAGCGGTCGCATAGAGGACTGGAAGCGATTCGCGGACACATTCCGATCGCTCATCCACAATAAATGTCGATTTAAAGCCCGTGCAGAAGTTTCAATATCTCATTACGTCGATCACGGGCGACGCAGCAAGGATTATTGAATCCATCGAGTTAACAGAGAACAATTATCAAATAGCTTGGGATTTACTGCAAAAACGGTACGACGATCCACGAGCAATAAAAAAACGGCACATCGAGTGTCTCTTTTCAATGCCATCTGTCAAGAAGGAGTCCGCTATCGCCATTCGGGGACTGATCGATTACACAACGAAGCACTTACGAGTTTTGAAAACAATGGACATGCCTACGGATGCCTGGGATGAACTCATCGTCCATATGATGGAAACGAAATTGGACGCTGTGACATTGCGCGCCTGGGAACAAGAAGGTAATGTAGAATCGCGAACATTGAGTAATTTTGTTGATTATTTGCAGAAACGTTGTTTGATGTTGGAGCGTCTAGAAGCGAGAGCGAAAGAGGGAAGTAGTCGCGCTGGTGACGGTTCTGACAAGCAGCAATCGAAAAATCGAAATCAAAAACTATGCACAGGCAACAAAGCCGCGTCATTAGCAGTGGTTTCCGATAGCGGAAAATGTTTCTTATGTGATGGAGATCATTTCATATACCATTGCAAAAACCTCATCGCCATGCCGGTCGATGAACGCATTAAAGAGGTTCGTCAACTAAAACTCTGTCTCAATTGCCTACGCAATGACCACTACGTCAAATCCTGCAAGATGGGATCTTGTCGCGAATGCTCAGGCAGGCACAACACGCTGTGTCACTTACCAACTAAGTCAAAGGAAGACAACAAGGAAGCAGAGCCAGTCGGTACTCATAGCCAGAGCGCCTGCCAGATAGCGGTGCACTTGTCGTCTAACACGCCGGTGAAACGTCGCGTGATAATGGCAACCGCCAGAATGCATGCGATTCGTCCAAATGGTTCTAGTGTCTCATGTCGTATATTGTTAGATAGTGCAAGCGAAGCACACCTCATTACCCGCGCGGCGTGTAACCTAGGCTGCGTTCGGGAATACACACTAGTGTGCCACTAATGCACACCAGCCGTTCGCAAATACTCGGTGTGCACTAGTGTGAGATCGTTCGGAAACGTCGAGAGAGCCACACCGAG